GGTCGCAGGGCCCGAAAACGGCACCCAGAGCTTGCAGGTCTCTTACCTGTTTCGGCCTCCGTGCTCCCAAAGGCCGAAAGAAGCAAGAAACCTTCCCCGATCCAGAACCTCGAACCTGACCGCACTTCAGCTGGCTGGAACCAGCGCTGGGCCACCTCAAGCTCGTGGGTGCGTCGAGGAGCGGTTGTTCCAGGGTGGGTTTCAGGAGCGAGCCTAGCTGGATGTTCACACTTCCTTCTTCCAGGGGCCGTCCTGGAGCGGTTTCCCTCCCAACCCCACCTCTGCCCCTAACCTCTGAAGGTCTTTGTTTTGGTCTCCGCCCCCTTTCTCGGCAGGAGGACTCGTCCTGAGGCATTAGTAGTATGAGTAGTCGTCGTAGTCGCAGTCGCAAGATTAGTCGTAGCTGTCGTCATCGCCGTCGTTGTTGCGCGGCGGGTTCCGCGGAGGAAAAGACATGGTTACCCCCAATTCGTGGGACACCCTAGTAGTCAGTTCCGCAATAAGGCCGCCGAAAAAATAGTTACCCCTCATTCGGGGTGGGGGGTTCTGAAGACCTTTCCTGGCTACCCCGCCTCTGCGTTTATGATGTTCCAACCTTTTTTAGCCTTGACCGCCAGAAATAATTTCGAGCGCCAGAGAAGTATCACACAATTCGAGGGTTTTCACGTGTCGGGCCGTGGGAGACACTCTTTCGACACTCTTTCGACACTTCTCCAGGTGCTCGAAATTACTTCTGGGATGTGGTCCTTAAATACGATGGGCGCAACATAACTCAACGCCCTCCTCCCGACCAAACCCCCAGTTGACTCCAATCAGGAGGGGAAGAAACACACAGACACAATTAATCGCCGATTCCCCACAAAATATGGGAAACTATGGGCAGCGAAAGGGAAGACAGGAACCCAGAACATATGGAGAAACATATGGAGCATCTCCTTATTTGTGTGTCTCTATTTGTGTGTCCTTGGGCCCCTTCATCCAATCTCTGCCCCCACCCCGAGCAGGACTCGGCACGTGCGCCGGCGCCCGCGGCCCCCGCCGCGCCGCCAGCGCCCCCGCGGCGCTGGCGCCGGCGTCTCGGGAGCAGCTGCCGCCAGGCGCATGCCGCCGCCGCCGCTCACTCCTCCTGCCTCCTCCTTCCTCCCTCCTCCTCGCTCCTCGCCCCTCGCTCGTCCTCCTCCTGCCTCCTCCGTCATCCTCCTCCTCGCTCCTCCTTCCTCCCTCCTCCTCCCTCCTCCTCCCCTCCCTCCTCCTCCTTCTCCTCCTCCTCCACCCCCACCTCCTCCTCGCTCTTCGCTCCTTGCTTCTTGCTCTTTCTCCTCTTCTCCCTGTCTCCTCCTCCTCCTCGTTCCTCCTCCTCCTCCTCCTCCTTTTCCTCTTCCACCTCCTCGCTCCTCGCTCTTCCTCCTCGCTCCTCCTCCACCTCCTCTCTGTCTTCGTCCTCCTCGTGCCTCCTCCGCCTCCTTCTCCTCCACCTCGGCGGGCGGGCGGTTTATAAAATGTGGCTCTCGCCTCAGCGTCGCGCGCGCTCTTTTTTAACATTTGCCAGAGCTTCGCGGATGGAGGGCGGGTGGCTTTCAAAATACAGTTCTCGCTTCAGCGCCGCGCACCTTCGCTTTTAACATTTGCCGGAGCTTCACGGATTGAGGGCGGGTCGTTTTCAAAATGCAGTTCTAGCTTTCGCGCCGCGAACCTTTGTTTAAAGAAATTGCAAGGATTTTGCGGATTGAGGGCGGGTGGTTTTCAAACTGTTGCCCTCGCATTGGCGCCGCGCACATTCCTTTTAAGAATTCGCAAGAGCTTCACGGATTGAGGTCGGGTCGTTTTCAAAATGTGGTTCTCGCTTTAGCGCCGTGCACATTCGTTTTAAACATCTGCAAGAGTTTCACGGATGGAGGGCGGGTGGCTTTCAAAATGTGGCTCTCGCCTTAGCGCCGCGCACATTCATTTCAATCATGTTCAAGAGTTTCACAGATGCAGTGCGGGTGGCATTCAAAAAGTGGCTCTCGCTTTGGCGCCTCGCACATTCGTTTTTCAACATTACAAGAGTTTCACGGAATCCACTGATCAACGTGCCCGGACTTGTGTTTTGGAAGGATTCAGGATTCTGCGGGCGCAACATTAATGTTGATTCGCGGCGTTCGAAGTCCCCAAAAACACGTTCTGGCACGTTTCTGGATCGTCAAGACGCAGCAGTCATGTTGATACGTGGCGCTGAAATCGCGAGGACAATGTTTTTGCACGTTTCAGGATCTTCAAACGGTGGTCTTCCAACGAGGCAGTTCTTTCAAAGGGAACGAACCGTTGTAGGGGCCTATGAAGAGGGCGCTCGGAGGGAGGGTTAATTCCAACATCGTTTATGGCTCTTGGGTTTACACTGGTCCTTGTCCTCCTCCTCTTCTCCACCCTACTGGCTGCCAAGCAGCAGCAGTGGCTGCGAACGCTTCAGTTCCGGCGTTTCCCCCCCCTCTCGCGCGCCAGGCGGCGTGCAGCTTCGTGCTCGCACTCGCGCCCCCTCCTTACAGCGCCGCGCCTTGCGCGCCGAACCCCTTCGCGGCCGCCGCGCGGCGAAAAAATCCGGGATGTGCCGTCTGCCGACGGCAACATCTCGGCGGCAGGCCGTCTGTGGACGGTCTTTGTGGCCTCGGGGAAGGCCCCTGCGCCGTTCCAGGGCCCGTTTCTTGGAGGAGGAGGAGGAGGAGGAGGAGGAGGAGGAGGAGGAGGAGGAGGAGGAGGAGGAGGCGTCGCGTTCTACGCTGGAGGGAGGGCGAAGGGTGGGGGGTGGCCCCGGGGGGGGCATCGAGCTAGAAGCGGCTACACGTCGCCGCTGAGCCGGCGACGTGCACTGGCTGGGAGGCCGCGCGCTCCTGGGCTGCGCGGCGGGGCGCGAGCTCGCGCTGTTCTTCCGCGTTTTCCATCGTGCGTCATGGGGCAACCCGGGGCCCGAGGGAAAGCGGGTCCAGGATGTGCTCGGCTCCTGGGCGCCCTCCCAGGCCAGGGCAAAAAGCCCCCCCCCTCCCCCCCCCCCCCCAGAAACGGCCCGGGGGAGAGGGCCCCAGGATGCAGGGCCCCAGTCTTTCATGCCAAAGCGCCGCCCTCATCCCTGAAGTTGTTTGTGTTGCGCACGTTTGAGCACGGCGCCGAACGGGTGTCGTCGCGCAGTCTGGCGTGGAGTGGCAGCGATATTGGGGTGCCCATATCCCATACTCGCAAGACAGTTGATGAGTGTTCGTGTCCTTTCCTCTGGGTGTTCTTTCTCACACGATGGCAAATATCAGTGTGAACTCCGCACGCTTCGCGTATCCCCACCAGCCTGTTCAGAAACTTTGCCCATAAGAGGCGACGCAGAAAAATAACAAAACACATGCATCTATTGGAACGAAGCGGTAAACCATGATGAACCGATAGATCTCTGGGACCAAGGGGGTGGCCTTGGAGGGCCTCTCCGGGGGCCATCCCGGGGGCCCGCGGCGGGGGGCGAGGGGAGGAGGAGGAGGAGGAGGAGGAAGGTGAGGACTATCTTCTTGGGATCATGTTGGCCAGTCCCGAGTGCCACAAACATGCGCCCGCTGCCGATGTCTTTCCGTTAGGCCAGCGTTTCGCCCCAGATCCTCTTCTGACGATCCCGCGTCAGTTCTGGATAGTCCACGACGGGCCATGGAGGCCGACTTTGGGCGGAAACCATGGACAAAGCAGACCGTCCGACCTAGGTAATGATGTTTCCGCGGCGAGGGATGCTGGCGGCGCGCCGAGGTGGGAAGTGAGACGGGGCATGCCTTTTTCAGGGGCTCGCAGGGCTTCTGAACAGCAAAAGCTTCGCGCCTTCGGAAAAGCCGCGTGTGGCTAAGGAGGAGGTTTGCAGGGCTCCTCCGAGGGCGCGAGGGCTTCTGACAAGTCCCGCCGCCCTCTGAGTGAGCCTGTTCCCTTTCGCTTCCCCCCTCGGCTGGCCGCCGAGGATGGCGGGGGGATGGTGGGGGGTCGTCGTCGTCGCCGCCGCCGAAGCGTCGCACCGCCCGCAGCGACGGTGCCCACGGTGCCGGCAGGGCCCCTCGACACCTGGGGATGAGGACCGCGGGACGTTTGTTCAATCGGCGATGGTACTCCAGATTTCGTAATAAAAGGGAGGGGGTCTGGACCCTCCAAGACAAGCCATTTCAGACCTCCCCCCGTGGGAGAACCCTCCAAAACGTCGTCCCCAGACCCCCGCAGGGCCTCCAAGACAGCCTGGAAGAGACCCCCCCCGAAATGAGACCCCCTCCCTTTTATTACGAAATCTGGAGTATGATGACCGCGGGACGTTTTGTTCAATCGGCGATGGTGCACCCACCTGAAGATCTCTGATGCGCGGAGCCTGGGCGAGAGGAAGGTTGCCGCCACGCTGCTGAGGCAGGCATCCGCCACCTCGCCATTGCGGATCAGCCCCGTCCATCCTTGACCCCCTTCGGGCGAAGAGAACTATGCACATGCACCGATCCTGACAACGCTCATCCTTGACCCAGGATCGGTGCATGTGCCTTCCTGGCCAAGGTAAGAGGGCGTATGCACCGATTCTGGGCTCAGGGTTGGGCCTGGCCAGAATCGGTGCATGTGCATAGTTCTCTTTCCTCTACCCCTGATGGCCTTGTTCAGCCACGCGCGGGGGGGGGGCAGGGGGGGAGGGCTTCTCGAACATCTCAGGGAGGGCGCGGGCAGCAGCCGCAGCTGCAGGACCCGCGCCCTCGGAGCAGCAGCCTCCTCCAAGCAGCCCTCCCCCCGCCCTCCGCCCCCCCTGCTCGCGCCACGCCAACTGGTCACCGGCGGGTCGTCGTGAGGCGGAGGAGGCGGAGGAGGCGGAGGAGGCGGAGGAGGCGGAGGAGGAGGAGGAGGAGGAGGAGGAGGAGGAGGAGGAGGAGGAGGCGGAGGAGGAGAGGAGGAGGAGGAGGAGGAGGCCGCCGCCGCCGAGGCGCCGAGCCGCCCGCCGCAGCCGCGGCGCCCCTGGCGCCAGCGGGGCCCCTCGACCCCGGGCCCCTGCGCGAGCTCGCCGCCGCCCACGCGGGCGGCGCGGCCTGGCAGCCGAGGCGGGGGCCTCGCCGCCACTCTAGGCTTCCTAGATGGGGTCGGAGTAGACGGGGTCGGAGGATCGCGCCGCATCGTCGAGGCATCGCCGATGCGGCTCGATGTGCAGCCCGATTTGCGCCACGTCGACGTCGCCGATTCCTCGCCCACGTCGACGATGCATCGCTGGTGCTCCGCTGATGCATCGCCGATACATCGCCGATGCATCGCCGATGTATCGCCGATACGGCGGGATCCTCCGACCCCATCTACTCCGACCACCATCTAGGAGACCTCTAGCCACCGCCACCGGCGTTGGCGCTGCGTCGAAGCACAGAAGCCTGCGTAGGGTTCGGGGGCCTGCCACGATGGTGTCGTCGGGCCGTTATAGCCCGCCGTGGCCGCGAGGGCGTCGGCGCTGTCCCCGAACAAGCAGGGAATCGGCGCACGGTTCGGGGGCGGCCAACGCCCTGGCGTTCCAATTTTTTGTCGAGCTGCGCGTGCTCACCTCCTTTCGGGCCCCCGGGACCCTCACAGATCGCTTCGGCTCGAACAATAGTCAGGAGGGGAAAAAACACACAGACACAATTAATCGTCGATTCCCCAGAAAATCTAGGAAAATATGGGAATTGGGCGGGAAGACAAAAACCCATCAAATATGGGAAAATATGGGGCATCGTTTTATTTGTGTGTATTTATTTGTGTGTCCCAGGGCCCCTTCAAATAGCGCAGCCGGACGGGGTCCGGAGCTCTGGTCGCAATATTTTTTACGATGCTGCAATGTGTTCGCTTCGTCGGAGCGCAGGGACGGCGGGTGGATCTTCTTGCGGGGGCCATGGTATCACCTTGGCTTCATGGCCTCATCTTCTTCTTGCAGTGCGTCTCCATGGCTCACCCTGGGTCGCGCACGTGCCTCGGGGCATGATTTGCGACCCCCCTCTTGGACACTCCCGAACGGTGGGGACGCGCACCAAGAAACGGCATGGGCGATGCAGAACAACCGGTTCGGCTGCGCCGACATTGGCGCGCAAGCTGCCCGTGTCAGGTCACGCGTGAGCGTCCTCGTTTCCAGCGTAGCGTGCCGGGCTGGCGGCCCGCGTGAGCCACCGCGCGAGGTCGCCACGTCGCCTTGCGCAAGACCCGTTTCTGCTCTTGGCCCAGATTCCCAAAACAGCGCTTGCACCTAGAGGCTTTCTTATCCTTCTCAGGAAGTGGGGAGGGGGCGGTCTGGCGTCAAGTCGGGCCTGTCCCTCTACAGGGGGAATATCCAAAAATAGTAAAAATACTGTCGGGGGACTCTCTTTTTTTATATTATTTTTTTAACCAAAAAAAAGCCTGGCGAAGGACCCAACCATATGCAGTTGTGAATACCTCGATTGTGGATGTCATCTTCGTTCGCGCTCCCTATGGGGCCACGAACCGTGTGAGGGGGCGTGCCGACATGCGTGGCGGGGTCCCCAATACGAACAAAGACGGTCGCTCTGAGTGCGCGAGACTGAGACCGGGTGAGCCTGAGCGCGAGTAACTCTGATTGTGAATGTGTCTGCGTGCGAATCAGTCTACGTGCATCAATGTCGACGCCCATGTCGGCACGCCCCTCACGAGGATCGCGCCCGCTTCCTTCCCCTTCTTTTTCTGCCTCTTTGCCCGTGCGCGCCGATGTCCATGGCTGCGGGCGCGGCGCCGCACTGAGTCCCCGCGACGCACGCTGGTCGCCCCGAAGGGGTCCCGGCGACGCGCGCGGGTCGTCCGCTGCGCGGAGCAGAGAGAGTGAGTGCTAGCTGGGTGGGTGATAGCGGGCAAGACTGTGGCCGCTGGGCAGAGCGACGACGGGGGCGAGCGAGGCTCTGGGCAGAGCGCGGCGCGGAATTCCCGCGACGCGCGCTGGTCGCCCCGAGAGGGTCCCAGCGACGCGCGCGGATCGCCCGCGGCGCGAGGCCAAACAGTCAGACCGTCGAGAGACGGCGACTCTCGGGCGGGCCGCTCCTCAGGTCAAGCCTCGCGGATAAACTCGGTGAAGCCCATATCCCTGGCGAGGGCCGTCGCCTCCCTTCTGCACCGCTTCGTGCGCGCCGCAAACTGCTCCAGCTGCTTCCGCAAGCCCTCCGGCGGCCCTGCCAGGAACAACTCGATGCGCGGCGCCCGCATGATCATGAGGTCCTCGTGGCGCGTGGCGCGCGAGAGCAGGACGTAGAGCTCCAGCCACCAGTCGTCGTTCTCCTTCTTGCCGTTCCCCACCTCGTGGCGGCCGCAGTCCACGATCACGCCTGGGCGATGTCGGCCGAGGGAGCAGCGCGCCGGGCAGCCGACGGCCCAGGGGTGTGCCAAAATGGGGCGGCGGCGCCATGCGAGTTCCGCCGCTGGGACCTTAGGTGGAGCTCCCTATGGGGCCACGAAGCGTGTGAGGGGTGTGCCAAAATGGGGCGGCGGCGCCATGCGAGTTCCGCCACTGGGACCTTAGGTGGAGCTCCCCATGGGGCCACGAAGCGTGTGAGGGGTGTGCCAAAATGGGGCGGCGGCGCCATGCGAGTTCCGCCATTGGGACCTTAGGTGGAGCTCCCCATGGGGCCACAAAACGTGTGAGGGGTGTGCCAAAATGGGGCGGCGGCGCCATGCGAGTTCCGCCACTGGGACCTCAGGTGGAGCTCCCCATGGGGCCACGAAGCGTGTGAGGGGTGTGCCAAAATGGGGCGGCGGCGCCATGCGAGTTCCGCCACCGGGACCTGGGGTGGAGCTCCCTATGGGGCCACGAAACGTGTGAGGGGTGTGCCAAAATGGGGCGGCGGCGCCATGCGAGTTCGCCACCGGGACCTGGGGTGGAGCTCCCTATGGGGCCACGAAGCGTGTGAGGGGTGTGCCACAAATGGGGCGGCGGCGCCATGCGAGTTCCGCCACTGGGACCTTAGGTGGAGCTCCCTATGGGGCCACGAAGCGTGTGAGGGGTGTACCGAAACAGACACATGCGGAGAGCAAAAGCCAGGATGGGGGAGGAGGGAGGAGTGGGAGGAGGAGGAGAGGAGAGGAGGACGCGGGGCACCGTATCTTCAAAACGAGGACCCAACACCACAGGATGGTTGGGAAAAAAATCGGCGAAAATTCCCCGTCCGGCGACTATGCTGTCGCCGTCGCCGCCGCCCCGTCACCGCCTCGTCGCCGCCTCGTCCTCCGAGGGGGGGGGGGGGGGGGCGTCGATCTGGCGGCTGCGCTGCTGCCGTCGCCGCCCCGCGGCCGCCCAAAGTTGCACAGCGTAGACTGCACCGCGGAGGCGCGCCGAGCGGAGAGGTCGCCCCCTATCGTGCTGAAGCACTCAACAGGAATATTCGGCAGTGTTCACGCGACGGTAGAGGCAGCGCAGTGTGTATCGGGCTGGAAGCGCACGCTGCGCCATCACATTCTTTCACTTTGATTATCAAGCTGCTTTGTCTATTGCATGTTCCGCGCTCTGTCTGTCCGCGCGCAGCCTGGTGTACGACTCGGAAGAAGAAGAAGAAGTCTGCACCGCATACAAAAAAAACGCCTCTCTTGAAATGAATTCGGTTATTCCCCCCCCCTTTCCCGGGGGTTCCGCCCCCCCCCCCCTTTTCTGGGGATATGTCATATATTCACTATTGTGTTCTGGCGTTTCCTCCATTCGTGAATTCATACCATGCCAACCCAACCGTTAACGAGCCCCCATCCATCTCTGTGCGAGATCATGCCATGTACGCGCGCTTCCCCATCTTCCAACCATCCGTGTGTTTCAGTACCTTGCCAACAAATTCACAAAGTGCACGCGCGCGCGGTCATGTCGGAACCATACACTGTGTTTGCAAACGCTGCAACAAAAAACATGAAGCATTCAACGTTCTGTTCATCAAACATATTGCAGAATTCTCGCCCGCGCGCATTTGCTGAATCGCGCGCGAACCATATGAGTTGCACGATTGCGTTGTAACCTTGCGATTTCATGTCACCGCGCGGTACACTCTAGATACACCGCCCTGCTCCCAGGGGACGAATCTTGTGCAGCAGATGTTACGCGGGACATTCGCGTGCGTCGGCCGCGCGCGAGTGTCGGAACGCGTTCAAAACATTCATCGCCGACACCAGGGCGCCATCATCGTCATTGGCGCGATCAGCACTGGCGCCATCGGCCTTGCCGTAGTCATCGTCACCGGCGCCGTCGCCCCAAACGTCGCGACAATCATTATCGCGTCTGCCGTCGACGACGTCGCCGCGGCACCGGGCCCTCCCGAGTCACTGAATCGCATGACAGTTGCCGCGCACCAGGGCGGACAGGACGACGCCGCCGTGGCCGCGTCGATCGCACCAGTAGTTGGCCGCTCTGCGCGCGAGCCTGCGCGCGCTAGCGAGGCCGCAGCGACGCGCCAACCAGCGACAAGCAGTCTTCGCAATGGCAGCCGCATGGGCACACCAAGATGCGGGCGGGTGGAATGCCTGCGCGAGCAGTGCGAGCAAAATATGTTTGCACAACTTCGAGTGCACCGCGTCGGTTGCGCCACATACATGTGCGCACCACGTATATTTCTTCACGTTCTACAAATGAGTTTGGCTATACCGCCGCCCCCAGGAATTGATCCCCCCTGGTGTGTGTGTGTGTGTGTGTGTGTGTGTGTGTTTGTACGCACGATTGTACCCCATCTCTCGTTCTAAATAAGAGGTCATGGTCCCAGCCAAACGGGGATCGCCTACGCCCGCGCTTGCGATTTTCTAATGTGAGCAATTTGTAAAATCTCTTGCAATACAATGGTCGAAGTGCACGCGCGCGTCGTCGTGCGCGGACGGCGGAGTCCTGAGAACATGATTGGTGTCGCAAAGAGTTAAATGTCGAGTGCCCCGGAACAGATGAATCTAACGTGGCTTTGTTATACCATTTTCTGGAAGAGAACAAGAGCAAACGTTCTCACGAATTCTTGAGACAAACATGTGGTGTTTTCATACTTGTCACCGAAAGCGGTCATCGTGCCTCGCACGCGCGTGTCGGAATCATTGGCGCGTCCTTGCGCGCGCGTGGAGAGAGGGGGGGGCGGGATCCCTGTCGAATGATGCCACGCGCCGCACTCGCGCGCGTCGGCCTCGCGCGAATGACGCAATCGCTCGCAAACTTCCGTCGCCGACGTGAGGACACCATAACGCACTGGCGCCGTCAATGGCGTTGCCGTCGTCATCGTCATCTTCGTCGCCAGCATCGCCGATATCATCCTCGCCCCTGCCGTCGTCGACGTCGCCATGACACCGCGCCCGCCCGAGTCGCAGACTCGCACTGAAGCGCCCGCGCTTCAGCGCGGCCTGCCCTGCGGGATGCGCCGGGCAGTGCCTGGCGGTCAGCGCCATTACAGCCGCGTCGGTCGCGCCACAGTAGGTGGCTGCTCTGCGCGCGAGTCTGCGCGCGATAGCGCGGGGGGCAGCAATGCTCCATCCATGTCCTTTTTCTCCTCCGCCTCCTCCTCCGCCTGCAATCGCAGCCGCATGGGCGTTGCAAGCTAAGACTGCGCGAGCGGCGGAGTTGAGAACCCACTGCGGACGGCAGCCTTTCGCACCGCGCAGGTCGCACCGCATATATTGCACCGCGCAGATCCCCCAGTCCGAAAATATCTTGGCGAACGACCCAACCATGCGGATTGGTGAATTCCGCAATTCTGAATATCATCTTTGCCCGCGCTCCCTATGGGGCCACGAACCGTGCGTGGGGCGCGCCGAGATGCGTGGCGGGGCACGCGACGCGAGCGAAGACGATATGTCTGCGTGTGGGAGACTGAACGCGAGTGAGTCTGATTGTGAATGAGTCTGCGTGCGAATCAGTCCACGCGCATAAGCGTCGACGCCCATGTCGGCGCGTTCCTCCCGAGGATCGCGCCCGCTTCCTTCCCTTCTTTTTTGTTTTTTTGTATTTTTTCTTTCTCTCTCTCTCTCTCTCTCTCTTTGCCCGTGCGCGCCCATGTCCGAGGCTGCGGGCGCGGCGCCACACGGGGCCCCCGCGACGCACGCCGGTCGCCCCGAAGGGGTCTCGGCGACGCGCGCGGATCGTCCGTTGCGCGGAGCAGCGAGGGCTGGCTGGCTGATAGCGGGCAAGGCTGTGGCCGCCGGGCACAGAGACGACGGGGGCGAGCGAGGCTTTGGGCAGAGCGCAGCGCGGAATTCCCGCGACGCGCGCTGGTCGCCCCGAGAGGGTTTTAGCGACGCGCGCGGGTTGCCCGCGGCGCGAAGCCAAACAGTCAGACCGTCGAGAGAGGGCGAGGCTCGGGCGGGTCGTTTTTCAAGTCGAGCCTCGCGGATAAACTCGGTGAAGCCCAGCTCTCTGGCGAGGGCTGTCGCCTCCCTCCTGCGCCGCTTCGTGCCCGTAGCAATCTGCTCCAACTGCTTCTGCAATCCCTCCGGCGGCCCTGCCGGGAACTCGACGCGCGGCGCCCGCGTGAGCAGGAGGTTTTCGTGGCGCGTGGCGCGCGAAAACAGCGCGTAGAGCTCCAGCCGCCAGTCGTCGTCCTCCTTCCTGCCGTTCCCCACCTCGTGGCGGCCGCAGTCCAGGATCGCGCCTGGGCGACGTCGGCCGAGGGCGCATCGCGCTGGACAGCCGACGGCCCAGGGCGAAAGTCCACGAGACGGAGAGAAGTTCTCCAACGTGTGAGGGGCCACGAAACGTGTGAGGGGCGTGCCAAAATAGGGCGGCGCCGCCATGCGGGCAGCGCCGCTGGGGCCTTAGATGGAGCCCCCTTATGGGGCCACAACAAATGTGAGGGGTGTGCCAAAATGGGGCGGCGCCGCCATGCGGGCTGCGCCACTGGGACCCTGCATGGGGCTCCCTATGGGGCCACGAAGCGTGTGAAGGGTGTGCCAAAATGGGGCGGCGCCGCCATGCGGGTTGCGCAACTGGGACCTTAGGTGGAGCTCCCTATGGGGCCACGAGGCGTGTAAGGGGCGTGCCCAAATGGAGCGGTGCCGCCATGCGGGCTGCGCCACTGGGACTTCAGGTGTGGTTCCTTATGGGGCCATGAAACGTGTCAGGGGTGTACCAAGATGGGGCGGCGCCGCCATGCGGGCTGCGCCACTGGGACTTCAGGTGTGGTTCCTTATGGGGCCACGAAACGTGTGAGGGGTGTACCCACATGAAGCGGCGCCGCCATGCGGGCTGCGCCGCTGGGACCTTAGATGGAGCTCCCTGTGGGGCCACGAAACGTGTGAGGGGTGTGCCCAAATCGGGCGGCGCCGCCATGCGGGCTACGCCACTGGGACTTCAGGTGGAGTTCTCCATGGGGCCACGAAGCGTGTGCCAAAATGGAGCGGCGCCGCCATGCGGGCTGCGCCTGTGGGACCTTAGGTGGAGCCCCGTATGGGGCCACGAAGCGTGTGAGGGGTGTGCCGAAACAGACACATGCTGAAAGCAAAGGTTGCGGCAAGGAGGGGGAGGAGGGAGGAGGAGGAGGAGGAGGAGGAGGAGGAGGAAGAGGAGAGGAGGACGGAAACGCGGGGCACCGTCTCTTCAAAACGAGGACCCAACACCACAGGATGGTTGGGAATTGAGATTAAGTCGAGCGTGTCCCTCTACAGGAGGAATCTTCAAAAATAGTCAAAAATAGTCTGGGGGCGATCTGTTCACCATGTTTGATGTTTTGATTATTGTTTGACGATGTTTTTCCCCCAAAAAAACCGCCACGCCCGACCTAGATTTTGGACCCCCAGGACTTTTCCGCCCCCCTTGCAGTGTACAATTTACGCGGGATTTCGCCCCATCGTTCACTCTTACTTCGAATTATATAGCACCCCAGCCTACACGGCATCGCCCCCCCAAAAAAAAACAAATCTCTTGCAACAGGCACTATGCGCGCGCTCGTTCAGCAAGAAATCGCCCATCCAAAAATCAAACCCTCGCAACACACGGATCGAAGTTCACGCGTGCATCGCCGCGTGCGCGCATGCCGGAATGTTTCACGACATGTGGTGTGTTAGGTTTCAATGTCCAGGGACTTGGATACAGTCGACCCACAGTGTAAGGATAGGCATCCCTCCCAAGGGTACCCTTGCTTGATTGCTTCCTGGGTCCATCCTTGGGCACTTTCGTTGGCCGCGCCCCGCTCGAAACGCTTCGAGATGGGCGTCCAAGGCCCTTGCATCCTTATCGTGCATCCTTCTTCTGCGGGTTGACTGTGTCGTTTTTTTATCCGTAAGGGTTTAGCTCCTTTGCTGCCGGCCCCTTCTCTATCACGATGGGATATCTCAGAATCGCATCGGTGCGTCTCGGCGCTGCCTTGGCGCACCTGAGAGCACCGTGCGGGGGCGGATGGGGAATCATCTTATCGAAGACACCTATTTTGGAATCGCCCATGTGCCCGAGCGTTGTGGCAAGAGCTCTGCCAAGCTATCGGGCCATGCGTCCCCCCAGCCGTTGTAGGAACCCTTCGGGGAACACTTGGGGGAGGATGGCGGGGAAGATCAGGAGGAGGAGGAGGAGGAAGAAGAGGGGGAGGAGGAGGGGACATCTTGGGAGCCTCTGGGGGCAACATTGGGTCTTCATGGGAGCTTCCTGGGAGCCTTTTGGAGGCATCTTGGGGTCCTCCTTGGGCGTCTTGGGGGCCTTTGAGGGTTTCTTGGGAGCCTCTTTGGCCGTCTTAGGGCATCCCTGACCCGTCTGACGCCGTCGGAAGCCGTGTTGGGGACCTGTCTCAACCGATTTGGGGCCCTCTTCGGGCGCCTCAGTTCAGGGCCGTCTCGGAGATCATCTTGGGCGTCTTGGAGGCATGTTGGGCCGTCTTGGGGCCCTTTGAGGCTGCCTTGGGAGCCGCTTGGGCCGTCATGGAGACATATTGGAGGCCTCTTGGGCGATCTTGGGGCGACATTGGGGGGCCTCTTGGGCCGTCTGAATGCCGGAAAGGCGCAAATGAAGAAATCGCCTAAGGAGACTCAAAGATTCGGGCCTCTTCGAGCTTTCTTGGAGGAAGTCTTGGAGGCCTCCGGGGATGTCTTGGAGGCCGTCTTGGAGGCCTCTTGGCGCCTTCTGAGAGGGCATCCCCCGCTTCACGTCCGCCTTCGGCGTGCGGCCGATGGTAGGGCTGCTAGATCGTCACCACTGTCGGAGCGAGCTGAGCACGAGCACGACACGAGCCCAGCCACATCATAGTCCGTGCATGGCCAGCGCAGGCCATGTAAGCAGGAGGGGAGGGGCCCTCTTCCTCAGTCAGGCCTGGGATAAGGATGGATCGCTCTAGAGCGTAACGGCAACCGCCCTCGGTGCGTTCCGCAGCGCTCTGGAACGGCCGCGGTGCCACATCCATTCTCCAGAACCTCCAGATCTCATAGACCGCCGACTTACCGGGCGTGGCGCAATGGAGTGGCGATACATGGGGGTTGAAGACAGGTGCGTTTTGTCGCCAAGGGGTTCTCAGGAGCCCGAAAGGGGTACGAAAGGTGCACGCCTCCACTCCCCGTTGGCTCCGCCCTCCCACGAGGCAGCCGCCCGAACTTGCCCCGAGCCGATGCTGCTCGCTCCCGGCCTCGCTCTGCCCCCCGCCCGCCACAGGCAGCCTCAGCTGGCCCGGGCGCTGGCGTCCTACCCCGCCGCCGCGCGCCCAGCGCGCCCCCGGCCGGCGCCTCCGGCGCCCTCGCCCACTCCTTCCTCTCGGGGGCCACGTCAGTCCAGAGGGGAGAAGACACAGACACAATGAATCCTCGATGCCCAGGAAATACGGGAACATATGGGCAGTGGGGGGGAGACAAGAGCCCAGAAAATACGGGGAAACATGGGGCCTCTTTTTCTTTGTGTGCATTTGTTTGTGTGTCCCTGGGCCTCTCTAGTCAGGGGAGGCTCGCCGGAGAAGAGCAAGCAACATCAACACAAGTTGCCTGAGCTCCGCGAGGGTCTCCGGGATCGGCGCCGGGCCCCCCTTCCTTGGCGGCGCCTCCGGCGCCGCCCCGCTCCGCGCACCGGGGGGTCCGGCGCCGCTCCAGGACTAGCTTCTGCTGAAGGGGCCCCAGGACACACAAAGAAATACACACAGATAAAAATATTCCCCATATTTTCCTATATTTTCTGGGTTTCTGTCTTCCCCCCCACTTCCCATATTTTCCCATATTTTCTGGGGCATCGAGGATTAATTGTGTCTGTGTGTTTTCTCCCCTCCTGATCTGCGCTCGACCGTTCGACCGTGAAGTTGTGCTGCGCCTTCGCGCCGGCAACGGCACCGGAAACGGCAGGGCCGTTTTTTCACCGCTCCCAGAAAAAAAGCCCCTTGAAAATGGAAACGGCAAAAAAACGGCGACCGCAAACGGAACAAAAAAGGCTCCAGGATTGGACCAGAGCCGGAACCGGTCAAAACATGGCGACGGAACCGATAAAAAAACGGCGTCGGAACCAGCAGCAAAAAAACGGCAAAACGGAACCGGTAAAAAAACAGCCCTGTCGTTTCCAGGACCCACTAAGGTCCCAGCCTGGCAAGAGCGCCGCCCAGCAAGCGCGAGCGCCACACAGGCGGAAGCGGGCGGGTCACGAGCCCGATGCGGGCACGGGCCCTACCCTGCAGCGCGCGCTCTGGCCACGGGCTCGGGGGCCCGCGCGGCGCACTCCTCGCGACGCCGCCGCGCGGAGCACGCGAGCATCCCAGGAGCGGGCAATATTTATGTCCATATCCAGTGCGTCTTGGACTTTCTTGGAAGGTGCGCCGCAAGGCCGAGGCGCACCGGATATGGATAGAATTTGAGCCTTTTGGAGGCAGATTATAATCCATATCCAGTGCCCCTCATGTTTCTTGGGAAGAGTGTCCGAAACTCCAAGACGCACTGGATGTGGATAAAGACGTTGCCCGCACCAGGAGCCAGCCAGCCGACCAGCCGAGCAGAGCGCAACTTGGCTAAGTCGGGCCTGTCCCTCTCCAGGGGGAAAATTCAAAAATGGTTTTAAAATTGCCGGGGGACTATATTTTGATTATTTGTTGACATATTTTGCGTATTTTTGGACTATGTTTCATTTGTCATCCAGAATCCCCATGTGTGGGGGACAGGCCCGACATAAAACTTGGCAGTGGAGGGCGCACGGCACCGGCGCACGCCAACCAACCAACCAGCCAGTGGGCGCGAGGGACGGAGGAGCCGCCTGTTGCGTCGCAGCGCGCGGCTGCGAGAGCCACCTGCCGCATTGCAGCGCGCGGCCTTGAGAACCCGCCTGTTGCATTGCAGCGTGAGGCCGTGAAATGCCCCCCGCCGCGCCTCAGAGGCGCCCAGGGTGTGGGAGGCGAGGAAGCCAGAAGGCATGGAAGCCGCGCCCACAAAACGCTTTTCTGCAGAGTCTCCAGCCCCCCAAATCGCTACGCGATTCTGAAGCTAAGGAATCCGCGCGGCGCTCCAAAAGTGAATGTATACGCAGATGTTTGTTTCAGCTCCCAAATCGCGGAGCGATTTGGGGAGCAGGGAAATACGACGGATGTGCGTTGTGGATTCCACTCTTCTCCTCTTGGCTTCTGCGGAGTTCGGTGGTTTGCGTGCTGCATCTTATCAGGGTCAGCTAGCGGCAAGCGCTCGCTTGTCTGCTTCGCCGGCGCCCCAAAGGAACAGGAGGTTCGCGCTTCGCGGGGCGCGGGTTTTTTCGTGGCTCTTACACGCCGGCGTCACTCGGGGATTGTGGCGCTCAGCCGTCGGGCCGTGGGCCCCAGCCCGCATGGGGGGCCATTCTCTCTCTCTCGTGCGCCTGGGCAGGCGCAGGGCTTGCCAATCCCACTCGCGCGAAGGCAGGAGGCGGCTGACGTGCGGTTGCGCTGGGCCAGCGCTGCTGGGCGCCACTTGCGCCACTGAGACTGAGGGCAGTGCTGGTCCCGCTGTGCGCCACTTGCACTACTGAGTGCCCTTCTGGCGCCGCTGAGCGCCAGTCGCACCGCTGAGTGCCACTTGCGCGACTGAGTGCCATTCTGGTGCCGCTTGGCGCCGCTCGCACCGCTGCGGGCCAGTCTGATGCCGCTGAGCGCCACTTGCGCCACTGGAGGCCATTCCGGTGCCGCTGAGCGCCACTTGCACCGCTGAGTGCCGTTTTGGTGCCGCTGAGCGTATTTTTCGGCGCTGTGTGCCATTCGGGTGCCGCTTGGCGCCGCTCGCACAAGTGAGGGCCATTTTGGTGCCGTTGAGCGCCCACTCTCACCGCTGGGTTCAATTCTGGTGCCGCAGAAAGCCATTTGCACCAGTGAGTGCCGCTTTGGTGCCACTGAGCGCCACTCGCACCAGTGAGTGCCATTCTGGTGCCGCTGTGCGCTAGTGCACCCACTGAGAGCAGCGCTGGTGCCGCTTAGCGCCGGTCGCACCGATGCGTGCCATTTTGGTGCCGTTGAGCGCCACTTGCACCGCTGCGTGCCATTCTGGTACTGCTGAGCGCCATTTGCACCACTGCGTGCCGTTCTGGTCCCGCTGTGCGCCATTTGCACCACTGAGTGCCATTCTGGCGCCGCTCAGCGCCAGTCGCACCGCTGAGTGCCATTGTCGTGCCGCTGAGCGCCACTTGCGCGACTGAGTGCCATTCTGGGCCGCTGATCGCAACTCGCACGGCGGGGTGCCATTCTGGTGCCGCTGAGCGCCACTCGCACCGCGGGATGCCCAACCGCCGCCGGAGAGACGAGGTATGACACGAAAATCAAGGAGCATCACAGGGCAGGGATAGACTCAGGACACAGTTCGTTTGCCCCCCCCCCGTAGTAGTAACGTTCCGGCCTGGTCCAGTGTGCGAGCCCGGGAAGCCCAGGGCCTGTGGTGCACGCGGGTACTGCTAAGGCCGTGGTGCGCGCGGGCGTGCGCTATCGTGTGCGCAGGAGTTGCGGTGCACACGGGCGTTGTGGCGCACACATCTGTCGTTGCAGCAGCAGCCGTGGTGCACACAGGCGCAGGGGATGTACGCAAGCATTGTGGTGTACACATCACAAGCTCTGTGGTGTGCACAGGCGCCGTGATGTACACACTCGCTGTAGTGTGTAATGTCGCCATGATGGAAGCGTGCGTTGTGGGCTAGAGTGTAGCATCTCTTCCTACTTCTTCCTTCTCCTCCCTCTTCATGTTCGTCCTCCTCGTCGTCGTCCTCCTTGCGCATAAAAGGATGCGGGCACTCTGGTGTACACACCCATTGTGGTGCACACGAGCATTGTGGTGCACACAGGCGCTGTGTTCCACATTCACTGTGGGTTCAAAATGGCCACGCCTTCCTTGGGTCAGAAAAACCAGTAGTCACATCATATCAACCATTGAATATGGTACATTCGGGCCCCCAACGATTTCCCAGACTTTGGCTCCGTTGGGGCCGTAGAGGTACACACAAACTTTGTAGTAAACGCAGGCACTGTGGTGCACATGGAGGGGTGCTGAAACAGCAGCCGTGGTGTCAATAATCACAGGCGTTGTGGTGCAGACGGCAGTTGTGGAGTATACAGGCACTGCGGTGTACACAGGCACCTCGAGGCGCAGCTATCCCGCGCGCCGCGGCCCGCGTTACCATTACCGTGTTGTCCCCTAGGGAAAATAGTCTCCAGCGAATGATGCATTGGCTTCAGCTCGCCCGTTGATTCCCTATCGTGACCCCTCGATCTCTCGTCGTCGCCGCCGTCGTGTTCGGTCGACGCCGTCGAAGTCGTCGCCGTCGCTCATGGGGGATGATGCCCGAGGAGGGGAGGGGAAATCATGGCGGGGACCAAGATACCCATCCGCATCTCGTGGTCCCCCCCCGCCTCCTCTGAGCGCGCGCCTCCTGCCACGATCTGCGACCCGACCCTGCCCCCTTGGACGCCCTCCTGGGCGCCCCCCCCGAACCGCCGCCACCCGCACCACGCCGCTCCTGCCCTGCCCCCGCTTCCGCCGCCCCCCGCTCCTGCCCGGTCGTCCATCCGCTGCCCATCTGGGCCGCGCGACTGGAGGCGCCGGTGGTTTGGTAGTCCCCAAACGTGGTGGTGACAGCACCTGGCGGTGAGTCTCGGGCGAGTTGGTGTCACCACCCGATTTGGGGGATTCGTGACGCGTGCGGTTTTCCGAGGATGTCCCGGGCACTGGTGGGTCCAGGGATCACAAAACCCGGTGGTGACCCCGCGTCCCCAAACCCAGCGGTGGCCTTTTTGGGGATTCCAGGTCGCCACCTGGTATCTCACCACCCGGTTTGAGGGTTCCCAAGTGGTGTTCTCCTGATCAAGGCGTCCAGGGCTGGACCGGGACGGTGTTTGGGCGATTTCGTGGGTCGTTTTCGTCTCGGTTTCGTGTTGCGGCACAGGCGGATCGGAGACAAAGCGGGGAAACGAGAACAAAACGAAATCGAAGAACACCGTTTAGGTTCAGCCCTGGTAGGAGCACTCCGAGGGAAAACGAGAGAGAACGAGGGAAAAACCTAGACAAAACGAAGGAAAACGAGACACTCTGGATCGGAGACAAAACGAGGGAGAAAACGAGAGCAACACGAAGACGGAAAACGATAACAAAACGAGGCAAAACGAGGGGAGAACGAGGACAAAGCGAGAGCGAAGGACACCGTGTGTAGGCTCACAGCCCCGGTGGGAGCACTCCGAGCTCACGCGGAGAGCGGTGGCGTCCAGGCCGTGCCACAGGGAGCCTCTGCCGCGTGGCCGGGGCTCGCCCCCGTGGCCAGACGAGCCCCGTCGTTTTCCCTCCACGGCCTGCCTTCTCTCGGGTGGCGTGGTCGCCGCGTTTCGTTCTTGTCCCTCCTGCCCCCCCTCTCCGCCTCGCCTCGTCGCCCTCCTCGGCCTAGTCCTCGTCGTCGTTCCGCTCCTCTTCCCCAGATCTCTGGCGTCGTGCTCTCTCTCGCGGCGCCGGCCCCCAGGGATCCCTACTAGACCCCCCCCCTGGGGCCCGCTCTTCGACCCCACGGGCGGGTGCAGGACCCCGGGAGGCCCCAGAGATCCAACGTGACGAAGAAAATCAGGACGAAGGTTTTTCGCAGATTTCGGCCCCCATGGGGCCCTCGCCGGGCCTCGGGACCGTCAAACAACGATTCAGGATGAAAAACCTGTCCTGGGGAAAGGGTCGAGACTTCCGGGGGCCCCGTCTTGAAAAAATCACGATGGCCCGTTTTGACGGCCCCGGAGACCGGTGATGGCCCCCCAGAGACCGAACATGGCAATCGAGAAGCCTCCTGCCGTGAGTCGGGTCGCGACGCGGGGGGGCGGGTGTCTCTCTATAGGCCTCCCAATTGGGGTCCGAGCACATGGGGTCGGAGGACCGCGCCGCGCCGCCGATGCATCGGCGATGCGGCTCGCTGTGGAGCCCGACCTTCCCCGCGCCGGCGTCGCCGACGCCTCGCAGACGCCGCCCGTGCATCGACTGAGCATCGGCGATGCGGCCAGATCCTCCGACTCCATCCGCTCGAATCCCATCGCTAGGATTAAGTCGGGCCTGTCCCCCTACAGCGGGAGTATTCAAAAATAGTTATAACAAAATTGTATGGGGACGTTTTTTGAGTATTTTTGGGCATCTCTTGGATATTGGTTGCACTTCTTTTTAATTGTTCGTCCAAAATCCCCCTGTAGGGGGACAGGCCCGACCAAACTCTGGAACCCACAGATCCTACGTCGTGATTTTTTCAAGACGGGGTCCCCGGAAGTCTCGACCCATTCCCCAGGACCGGTTTTTCATCCTGAGTCGTTTTTGACGGTCCCGAGGCTTGGCGAGGGACCCTGGGAGCCGAAATGTGTGAAAAACCTTCGTCCTGATTTTTCCATCACGTTGGATCTCTGGGAAGGCCCCTCGTGGCCTCCCCGTCGGCCGCCCCATCCGCGGCGCGCGCCGCGGGGGCCGCCCGCGCACCCGAGGCCTCCTTCTCCGTGCCGGGCCACGGTGCGCCCGCCTGGTCCGCCGGCGCAGGCCTCGGCCCCGCCCACTCCTCGTCCTCCTCCTGCTCCTCCTCCTCCTCCTCCTCCTCCTCCTCCTCCTCCCCCTCTCCTCCTCCTCCTCCTCCTCCTCCTCCTCCTCCTCCTCCTCCTCCTCCTCCTCCTCCTCCTCCTCCTCCCCCTCCTCCTCCTCGCAGGTCCGCCTGTCGCCATGGTCGGGTATGGCCAGGACCCCTGGGGCCCAGACCCCCTCGAGTTATGAAAAGATCACGACGGGAGGTTTGTCATGATTTCTGGCCTTTGGGGGCCCTTGCCGGCCCTCGGGGCCGTCAAGAAACGACGCAGGACGAAAAACCGGTCCCGGGGAATGGGTCGAGACCTCGGGGGGTCGACGTCATGAAAAAATCATGACGTCGGGGGTCTGGGGGCCCGGTCAGTGGTGGGGCCGGACGCAATCAGGGGATAGGGAAAGGAGTGGGTACAAAATCTGCTGCATGCAGCTGGTTTCGGGCCCGCCGCCGGGCCCATTCCTCGATGCATGGGCGCCTCCCGGCGCCGGGAGGCTCCGGGAAAATCAGCTACGTCAGCTGCTTCTGGACACCCCTCCCCTTTGCTATCCCCCCCTTTCGCCCGGGCCGATAGTGGTGGGGCCCCGGGGCCCCGAAATTCGCCAGAATCGCTAAGTCAGGGCTGCCGCGTATAGCTGGTGTTTCTCGGGCGACGGCAGCTCCGGTGGGTGGAACGGGGCGGGGGGGCGTCCCCCGGTACACATCACTAAACCAGGTCCCACTGAACCCAGTTCTGCCAACGCCCGACGGGGAAAATTCGAGCAGTGGCGAAGCGTCCTGGCTCGCCTCTAGGGGCACCCAGGCATGTCCTAAGAGCCTCTTGTGTGGTTTCAGCGAGGTGTTCTTGGAACACGTCTGGCTCAGACTGTCTTGCTTTCATACATCGGGCTTGCATCTGGAGAACATTGTTTTGGTCCTGAGAGAAACTGTTGGGCTCTAGAAACATATCGTGGTAGGCCTCTACGAATGCCGGGACGGCCGGTCCCTGTTCAGTCCACCCTTTTCGGGAGCCCTGAGACGGGGGTCAATGCAAACGGGGGTCAACAACAGCGCCACATCTTGCAGGATCTTGCGAAGACCCCCTCTGGCTGACCCAGGCTAGCGAGCCGCTTGTGGCCGCGAGGCGGCCGCGCATATTGGCTGACCCTGGTTTGCGAAAACTTGCGTTGCAGTTTTTTGTTCCTGCATTGCAGTTTTTTGGTTTCCTGCTGACCCGGGTCTGGATTGACCCGGGTCAGAAGATCCCCGACCTTTTTCTCGCCACGGGGTGAATGAGTCTCGAGGGCTGGGAGTTTTCGCCGTCTCTGGGCTCCCAGGGCCCTTCACGGGCCGCAGGACTGTCGGACGACGGCTCGGGATGAAGATCCCGTCCTGGGGGAAGGGCCCCGGGGCCTGGGGCCCGTCGAGCTCAGAACCCGCCTCCCCAATATGTTGATTTCTTGGCAGCCTCGGGGGCGTTGTAAGGGGGAGGTATATTATTCCTCTGTCTCTTCCTCCTCTTCCTCCTCTTCCTCCTCACCCTCCTCGTCGTCTTCCTCCTCTTCCTCCTCGTCCTCCTCGTCCTCCTCTTCCTCTTCCTCCTCTTACTCCTCTTACTCCTCTTCCTCCTCTTCCTCATCTTCCTTCTCGTCCTCTTCTTCCTCTTCCTTCTTTTCCTCCTCCTCCTCCTCCTCCTCCTCCTCCTCCTCGTTCGCAGGCAGCCCGCGGGGGCTACTCAGGGGCACGGCTCGCGACGAAGCTTCGGGGCTTCAGGTTGCAGGCCGTCGTCGACGGTCCTCGTCGACGACCGGCTTCGGGGCCCCCTCCCGCGGCCGCGCCCTGCCGAGGCTGTTTCCAGGGGCCCGGCGAGGGCCGCAGGAGGCCGAAAGGATCCGTGTGTTCGCAAGGAGAGGAGGCGGTGTCGCAGGGCCTGCAGCGGGGGCGCGCGTCAAGGGACCATGTTTTTTTCGTCAGGGTAATGATCCTGGGTTTCTTCGCCCCGCCCGCTGCGCGGCGACTTCCCGCGGCCGTTAGAGGAGCGGCTGCGTTCAGTGCGCTCCCGGGATTCCCCTCAGTGCGCACCCCGCGCGCGGGTTTTCAGGGTGCTGTTTCTCGCGAGGGTCTCTTGCGGCCGCGCCCTCGCTGCATCCGTCGTGGGACTCGAGTCGGGCCGAGGGTCAGAGGGCCTTCCTCTGCAGGGCCACCGAGAGAGGGACGTCGAGGTGGTCGAGCTCCTCGCCGGTGAAGCCGACGAGGATGTGCAACAAGTCCAACCGTTCGCTCATGTCCAGAGCTTTGGCTTGCCGCCGGGCGTGGTGCATCAGTTCGCAAGTGGCCCTTTTAGAGAGCCTACTTCCTCTGCAGGACCACCGAAAGAGGGACGTCAAGGTGGTCAAACACCTCGCCGGTTAAGCCGACGAAGATGTGCAAAGTCCAACCGTTCGCTCATGTCCAAAGCTCTGGCTTGAGGCCGGGTGTGGTGCATCCAGTTCAGCTTGACCGAACAGGCTGACTGCGCCCCTTGACGTCGGTTTTGGGGGTGTTCTGCAGACCCGACCCCCCAACCCTGCTCAAGACGTAGGACCCGCCTGTTTCGTGGCGGGCCTCGCTCTCCTCTGCGGGCGATACTTATATCCATATCCAGAGCGTCTTGGACTTTTTTGGAAGCGGCGCCCCAAGGCCGAGGCGCACTGGATATGGATAAAAATCTAGCCTTTGGGGGGCAAATTTATCCATATCCAGTGCGCCTCGGGTTTCTTGGGAAGAGAGCCCAACACTCCAAGACGCACTGGATGTAGACATAAGTATTGCCCGCATCCTCCGTCCCGATCCACCACCCTCCCCGCCTCCCTTGGCATCAGAGGCACGGTCGAGTCAACGCTGGGCTCCAGAGGCGGTGCTGGAGCTTCACGGCGAGCCTCGCGCTCCGTTGTTCCGATCCCCCCTTTCCCCGCCTCATCCGCAAGCAGGCTTAGGTCGGGTGTGCCCCCTTACAGGCGGACCTTGAACGAAACGTAGAAATAGCCAAACAAACTCAGAAAGTAACCAAAACAACAAATGCAAAAACTCGTCCCCAGACTATTGCGAAGGCCTTACGGCCGGTGCCGCCGACCCTGAATGGCGACGACGACGACGACGACGACGACGACGAGCGCTCTTGGGGGCCTCTTGGGGGTAGTTTGTGGGCCTCTTGGGAAGCTCTTAGGGGCCGCTTGGAAGCCTCGTGGGGGCCTCTTGGGGCTTCCTGGGGGTCTCTTGGAGGGGGCCTGGGACGTCTTGGAGGCTTCTTGGACGGTCTTGGGGCTATCTTGGGCGTTTTCGGCCGATCTTTGGGCGACTCGGGGCCCTCTTGGGCCGTCTCGGGGGCCATCTTGGGCATTCGGACCTCATTTGGAGTGTTTTCGAGGTTTCTAGGCCGCCCGAGGAAAAACGAATCTGCCCCGGGACCCCCCCCTCAAAGGGAAGGGGCTTCCCTTCGACTCGACTACGACACTGCTAGATGTTTCTCTCGCTCACGAGCTTGAGAAGGAAGCTGCAGGCAAAGGGGACGACGGAGGCGACGACCGAAGGAGACGACGACTCGAACAGCCAAGCCCCTCGCACACGCCGACAGGGTCGGCGGATGTTTGAACTATTTTCAAAGATTCCCCCTGTAGAGGGACACGCCCGACCTAAAATTATGCATCAGAAGCACAGTCAGTTCAGTGCTGGGCTCCAAAATAGCTGCTTGAGTGCCAACAGAGCCGGCCAAGCACTGATCTGACCAGTGTGCCGTGGAGCTGCCGCCTCAGGCAGAGGGCCAAGATTAGCCAGGCCAGTGCTCGGGGCATCATCTACCCTGCCTCCACCCCCGCGCGGGCCATGCCCGGAGATCCGACGTCTCGAACGAATGGCAAAATCATGGCACATAAACCCGACCAGACCCTTGGGTTGTGAAGTTCCAACCTACTTCAGCCTGAATCACGAGAAACCGGAGGGTTTGCACGTGTCGGGCCCTGGGAGGCGACACTCGTTCGACACTGTTTGAGGCGATACCCGTTCGGCATTGCTTCGGCACTTTTCTGGGCGCTCGAGATGATTTCTGAGATGTGGTCCTCAAGCACGATGGGAGCAGCGTAACCCTTGGGCCCCAGCTGTGCGCGCCGATTGCCGAGCCGTATCCATCGCTCTGACGGCCCCGAGGGCCCGAAGCTGGGCGAGAGAGCGCCCGCCTCGTGGACAGATTGGAGACGCCAGGAGTTCGGGGTGCCATCGCAGCCCCTCCTCCTCCTCCTCCTCCTCCTCCTCCTCCTCCTCCCCCTCCTCCTCCTCCTTCTTCTCCTCTTTCTCCTTCTCCTCCCCCTCCTCCTCCCCCTCTTTCTCCACCCCCTCCTCCTCCTCCTCCTCCTCTTTCCCACACGTGGGGGCAGGCCCCGCGAAACCCGGATGGCACAGCACATCCCCACCGATCAAGCAATGGCGAGGCGTGTTAGTTCGCCTATAGGCACACCAAACAATGTTCTGAGAACCTCGTGTGGTTTCTGCGAAGTGTTCTCAGATCATTTCTGGCTCGGGCTGTTTTGTTTTAGTACATCGGGCTTGAGTTGTAATAGTATATATTTTGTTATTAAAGCATGTGTGGGTTCCAAGAACACTTCGTGGTAGACATTTTGAATGCCAGGACGGCCAGTCCCTGCCCAAACCCAGCAATGTTTTGCCTTTTACACTTTCGTCCTTCTCCTCTGTCTTTTTGCCTGTGCCCGCACATCTGGTGCAGCTCCGGCAGCAATGAGAGATGCAGATCCCAGTGCAATTGTGTTTCGTCGACGGCTGTCAGCCTCAAACGAAGTATTCCGACGGAAAGACCCCACGCGAACATCTTGTCAGGTAATCTGGAAATAACCTTCGCTGTCGTCCTCGCGATTAGTGAGGCGCCCTTCCTGTCTTCTCTGCGCCATTCTCACTCTCGCCCTGGCGCAGGGCCCTCACCCGTTTCCCGCGCTGCCAT